AAGGCGATTTGTTTCAATTTCCACGAAGACCATTAGCTTTGCCTGCACCAGATCCATAATGATAATAATGCCGCTGTTGTGTGTATTTGTGTACGTGCGTATCTGTGTACAAAAGAAAGATAGTAGTAACATGACCTGCCTCATAGGTGATTTATTTATCTTGATTTTTTTCGCTTTTGTTTTCTTCAGCGTCTTTTAATTTGTATATTTTCTTATTTTCAAAATTCTTGCTTTAATTATTTATGTTGTGGTGCATTTTGCATATACATGTAAAAATCAATAGTGTGTGTGTGTATGTGTGTATATGCGTGTTTATTTATTTGTAGTTTTTGTTTTCACTAATTGTATGTACGACAGAGATAGACAGACCTATTGTAAACACTAACATTGTGCAGGGAAACAATGTAAAATTGAATCACGCCTTTCATTTCACTATGCACTCGTTTTTTTCTGTTTTAAACAATCCTGTTTAAGTGTGAGGGTGGGGTGTCGTCTATTCAATTGATGAGTGGATTCTGAGTCGTAACATGATGATGATTTCGTGAATTTATGCCATGTTTTGGTTTGGCCACCCTCGTAGCTTTCTTCTTGCAGCCTACCCGCCGTTTACACCATAAAACATAGCTCCTCGTGGTAGTCGATGGCTGGACTCATGTTCCAACTACATCAACTGATGAAGATTCACTACTTCATCAACTGACTTGCCATCTATACCTAGTACTCATTTCCTAACGACAGCATCGCTTGCTCAGTTGTCCCAGGATACAATGCTTCGAAGATATCTATACCTACAAATGTCCTCTACTTTTACTGGTCATGTTATGCACCGCCATATAGTTGGACAGAGCGAAGTGATGCGCAGTACACTCGTCTTTTGATTAGCAAACGGATATCTTACCTACGCCATGATGAAGCGGTCGACGCGCTCAGCTACTTCACTCCCTATCATTAATTAATTCACATGCGGATGCTGCAACCCTATCTTGAGGTAATGTTTTGCATTTCGATTAGGAGAATCGCATTTTCAACGAACGACTTTCATTGTTGCTTAAGGTTTTTAGAAGACTGCATTTTGTAAGCATCTTCACGTAATAGAACTATTTCATCGGCATATTTTAAGTCGACAAGTGAATCTTCTGGTAGAAGGTCCACTCCTGAAAATTCAGACGAAGATAATGTTATATCTAGCAGCATATCTACGACAAAGTTAAACACAAATGAATATCGCTGACGGACACCACTTGAAGAAACCAATTCCGATGACAGTTCGCCATAACTCTAACTCGACATGTAGTGTTCGAGTAGAGAGCTTTGTTAAGGTACACCTTTCAATGAAAGGCATTGCCCCAGAATCTTACGAGTCAAAGGCTGTCTTAAGGTCCAGGAATACAACTATTCTCAGTGTAATATGCTCTTTGATATCCCTCTTTTCCATTTGCTCTAAAGATTTCCAACTAAGGCTTGCCTTTTGACGCAGTTGAATAATTTCCGCAATTTATATCCTATTCTACTAGGATTACCACTGCCGGACCCAAGTTCGAATAAAATAGGAGACTTGGGTAGAGTAGTCAGTCAGGTGCAACGTAGAACTTCGTACGTAAGTACATCAGTTCATGTCGCCATACCACATCAGCACAGAGATATAATTGTCAATTCAAATCCAATAGTAGAAGAGGTAGTAAAGGTATTAGAAGTAATCGGAGAGATTACGATTAGAAGATATTATTCAAGAAGTATGATTCAGTGAGAAAGTTTAGAAATTAAAACTAGAGGTGTTGACGAATCCAAAAGATTAGGATTTGAGAGAACACAAAGAATAAATGCCCCGCCACCATTGCAAACGCTTTTGAGCCATGTCATTCAGGGTATCTAACCATCGATTATTGTCATCTCGCGGACCCCAACTAGGTAGTCGACAACTACCGACATGGCTCAGTCCACTCGTCAATGACTTCATGGATTTATGCCATGTTTTGGTTTGGCCGCCCCTAACTTTCTTCCAACCTACTCATACACTACAAAACAAAGCTCTTTGAGGCAGTCGGTGGTTAGCCATACGCAACACATGTCCCAACCACCTCAACTGATGAAGTTTTATTACTTCATCTATTGATCTACCATTCTTACCTAGCACCCGATTCCTAATAACAGCGTTGCTCACTCGATTATCCCACGATATACGAGCAATGTTTCGAAGACACCTATGATCGAATACCAACAACCTACGAATATCTTCTACTCTCATTGGCCATGTTTCACAGCCATAAAGTAAGACGGAGCGAACTACTGCGCAGTAGTATACAATGGAAAACCTCAAGTCGGAGAAACGCAACTATAATCCGTAGTGATGTTGTACTTTTAATCAAATAAAAAAAACTCTCATACTAATATAATGAATATCGGTATTTTTATCATGACGGCGACACAAAATCATTACACATCATAAAACATGTAATACAGAGTGATATATTCGACATTTTTAGCTATCATCAATGAAATGATTAGCAAAAAAATTAAAGTTATCATTATAATCATAAATCATACTATGAATAATGTTACGCTAAACACACAAATTTTTAGTAATAATAATAATATATAGTGAATATTAATTAACCAATACACACACACACACACAATGTGATCAATTGAATTCAAATTGATATTTGATTGTCGTTGTTCAACGAATAAAACTTTTCATTGGAAGAATTGTGTAAATGTGTCAATCAGAAATGCAAATTATGTGTGAGCGGTGATGTCGATTAAAACACTACATATAAGTAGTATAATCATAAAAACTAAAATATTATTAGTACCACTACTACCAATGAATGAATGAATATAATGATTATTAGATGCAGAATAGAATAAAATGACGACAAGAGAGAGAAAAACAAAACGTGAAAAGATGATCTGAATACAATCAGAAAAAAAAGTGATCCATTGAAATGCAGTTCGTTCAGTATTATGATGATGATAAAAAAGAAAGTCAGCTGTGTTTGTGTTTGTGGGTGTGTGTATGTTCTCCACATGAGGAATAAAACAGAACAGCATCAAATTATCAATTGATTCAGTGTGTTTTTTCAAGCATGATGACAAAACTTGACCAGAGAGATTTACGAACAGAACATGATGACATCACGTAGCACAGACACAGGATGATGATCACGTAAGGATGAGATTGTGGCATCTTCCAAAAGAACATCGACAATTTCACAATCTGACGAAGTATCTGAAACAATAATAATAATCATATACAAAATTATATACATATTATATATACGATCAAAATAAATTTCAACTCTCTTTACAATTAGATCTGTGAATCGATGAACGCATTAAAATGATCACAATTAGTGTCATTGATCATTCTAGATTTTTACACTGATCTTTGCCGCTTTGCGCTTGGTCAACTATAGTGTCTAGTTTTACTTGTCACAAGGTAACATTTTATTGTTATAGTATATATATTATATAGAAGGGATTGTTTTAAATATGATGTTTCGCCAATCATCATCTGATGAGATATTTTCTTATATCCCAATCATATTGTCAGATTATATTGTGGTGCGAGCTACTTATAAGTAGTATATGATGTGAGTGTCAACGTAATGTCTGGCAGCAGAAAATGGGGGAAGATCAAGAAAGGAAGAGTTAGAAAACAATGGAATTTGTATGAAACGCATGAATAGTGACAATGGATTGATGTTTGGCAACAGGAACAGTCCAGTTCGATATGATGAACTGATATTTTGCAAATTAACGATATGGTTTTCCCTATTTTACTGAGTAACTCTGTAATTTTCGTTAGATACAATCCGGTTGCCCCACCTGTGTTCTCGTTCACTACAATATTACTGAAGTATTATAGTATCGATCATTTGAGTTATTGAGTTCGCATTGAATCCCCATAGTCTTACATTACTTACTTTTCCCTGATAGCCTCAATGAACCGTAGTCCGCCGACCACCGTTCCTCCAACCTACTCAGTCCTGGGCCTTCCCTTTTCAGTTTTGTACAACTGCTGTTCATTCTTCTCAGGTCCGTCTTCATTTCCCGACATTATGTTTTCGTTGGTGTTGTTTTTTTTCCTTTGACATTGAGGATTCCAAGTGAGGGCTTGTCTTGTGAGGCAGTTGGGTGCTTTCCTGAATGTCTATCCTATCCACTGCCAGCACTTCTTCCTGATTTCTTCCTCCGTTGGAGGAAGCTGGTTTGTTCACTGCTACAATAGGTTGTTGATGTTGTCTGGCCAACTGATCCGTAGTACTTTGTGTAGACAAATCCCTATTGTTTGTTTGAAGTGAACAGTACTAGACTTGAGTGCCCCAAGGGAACAATAACTCTGTGGTATAGCAGGTATATGGAGCTGACTAGTCCTAAATAGAGCAAACCATCAGTCGTGGATTCTGCTGTCAGCCACTAACCTCACATCTGCTAATAATAATGCTGGTGACTTAGTGCCTATATCGAGGCAATCCGAACATGATGAACATATATATATATATATATATATATATATATATATATATATATATATATATATAATAATGATAGTTTCAATTGTCTTACGGGGTTGTGAAGATTGTTAAGTTACACATTTTGAAACCATGAATCGATCAATGTTAGACCACCATTAGAAACCTGGAAGCACGGCCGCTTCGTCCTGATATGGGACTCATCAGCAGTGCGCATCCACGACTCCCACACCCCGCAGGATTCGAACCCAGGACTTTCGGTATTGTGCGCGAACGCCTAGCCATCGGACCACTGAGCCGGTATCTAACGGTGTTAATGTTTAACTTGATCAATTCACGGAGTTGCGCAACCTCATACCACAGTCTTCGGTAGTTACTGTCTACACCCGAACAGGTTGAACTTCACTGGTCACGTCTTCCCACTAGAACTCGGAGAAGATTCCTCACGAAGCTAGTCACTAGTGAGCACAGGTAATTTTCATAACAGGGGTTGTGAAGATTGTTAAGTTACACACACATTTTTGAAACCATTGTCTACAAAGTAACAAAACTGACAAGAATTTAATTTTTTTTCAATTCTAAGAATAAACTAAAGATGACTTACATGATTTCTTAGATAACTTTCCTTTTTTAGCAGGCATTGTTTGGGTTGAGTCTACACTGCGTACTGGACGAATATTTTCACGATCTACAAGTAATAAAAAAGAGTCGAGAGAAAAATAAAAAACTGCATCAACCAGAGGATGTAACAACTTTCTATCTTAATTCCATTATATGTCAGTCATGTCTTTATTGTTTAAAACGATCAGACATAAGAAGAAGTTGAATACAACGGGTTTGCTGTTGTCGTTCTATCCTTTTCATTGTTATGAACACTGACTGCTGGCTACACTAATTATCCTGAATTAATGTTTCTTTGAAGAATTCCAAAAAACATACAGAGATGAAACAGTCAGGTCAGCTCTCATTGAAGTAGCGACAATCCAAAACATTAAGGATTGGAGATATCGTTCGAGAAGTATAAACCAGTGAAATAAACTTAAAAAGAGAAACACAAAGGTCATAAGGAATTAAGAAGATTAGAATTTCAGGGAACATCAAGAATGGATACCAATTAGCAGTCAAACGCTACAACGACAACGCTTCGCTTATATCAATACACACCGACAATTATGGACACACATTTGATTGGAACAATGTGGAAATACTGGGTAGGGGGAGGGCAAAGAACACTGGGGATTTTTAGAAGCTTGGCACTCAGGTCAATCAGCAACCAACAAACATATCGAAGTTGACCCAATTTATAAACCAATCAGGAAAATCATAGGTGACATAGGATCAAGAAACAGATCGAAAGGGGGATACAATCAAAATTAAGGTGCAAACAACGACAGGTTTAAGATCAACAGCAACCAATCAAGATCGAGGTTAGCAGAACAAGCTACGAGTCATTTCGTGGAGAAATTCAAATACTTCACTTCTATCTGAAGTTTGTGCTGATGATGTTGTTCAGACGAAGAACAATGAAAGCTCCACAACCAGAACATCCAGCTCACAGAACCAAACACCACCACAATCATCCGCCTGAGCTACAAATTTTATCCACCATCTCATGGATACATCTGCTCCATTGCAAATGATTTTGAACCATTTCAGTTACTGTAATCTCGCGGACCCCTACCTGGAAGTCTACATCTACCAATATGGCTCAGTTCAGTTGTCAGTGACTTCATGGATTTTTGCCATGTTTAATTTTGGCCATCGCTAGCTCTTTTTCAGCCTACCTCTACATCAGATAACCCCCGCTCTTTAAGGCAGTCAGTGATTGATTGGTTAAGCATACGTAACACAAGTCCCAACCACCTAAACTGATGAAGATCCACTGATTTTTTCATCCTTACACCTAGGCATCCACAATACAGATTGGTAAACAACAGTATCGAATCAGTAGTAGCTCAGTTAGTTAGTTAGTTATTTCACTCACAACACCCAAATAGATTTAATTTTAATCATAAAATGAAAATACCAAATAATGTAAATCATTCCACAGACAGGCCGGATTGACTAAATGATTGATTTATTTATTCACAATCAGACAAATTTATCTGTCTATCAATGCTGCTATCCACATTTGTATGTATGTATGCAACGAAAATGTCTGCATTTATGATTACTATCATTATTATTATTATTATTATTATTATCAATGTGAATAGATATCAGGCTAATTGATTTATAATGTAAACACAGAATGACAGTATTGATTAAACTGTAATAAAGTTAGGCGATATTTTCTGTCAATACTATCATACTACTCACTGAATTATACTTCTTGAATAACATCTTCAAATCCTAATCTCTCCGATTACTTCTAATACTTCAACTATTTCTACCTCCATGGGATTTGAATTGAAATGACAATCTGAACTAATGTGCATACATACGACGTTCTACGTTGTTAACTGACTGAACAGACTCAGTCAGTCAGTCAGTCAGTTGCAACGTAGAACTTCGTACATAAGTACATCAGTTCATGTTGCCATACCACATCAGCACAGAGATAGAATTGTCAATTCAAATCCAATAGTAGAAGAGGTAGTAAAGGTATTAGAAGTAATCGTAGACGTTAGAATTAGAAGATATTATTCAAGAAGTATGATTCAATGAGATAAGTTTAGAAAGTAAAGCTAGAGGTGTTGAAGAACCCAGAAGATTAGAATTTGAGAGAACACAAAGAATAAATGCAATGGCGCCATTGCGAACGATTTTGAGCCATGTCATTCAAGGTCTCTAACCATCGATTATTATCATCTCGCGGACCCCAACCAGGTAGTCGACAATTACCAACATGGCTAAGTCCACTCGTCAATGACTTCATGGGTTTCTGCCATGTTTTGGTCTGGCCGCCCCTAGCTTTCTTCCAACCTATTCCTACACTACAAAACAAAACTCGACGAGGCAGTCAGTGGTTAGGCATACGCAACACGTGTCCCAACCACCTCAACTGGTAAAGTTTCACCACTTCATCGATTGATCTGCCATTCTTACCTAGTACCCGTTTCCTAATAACAGCGTTGCTCACTCGGGTGTCCCACGATATACGAGCAATGCTTCGAAGACACCTATGATCGAAAACCAATAACCGACGAGTAACTTCTACTCTCATTGGCCATGTTTCACAGCCATAAAGTAAGACGGAGCGAACCACTGCGCAGTACACTCGTCCTTTAGTCAGCAAACGGATATCTCGCCTACGCCATAAGTGACGCAGGTTGGCAAAAGCCAATCGAGCCTTCTGTATCCGTGCCGAGATTTCGTCAGTCATCAGGCCATCAGCACTGATGAGACTCCCAAGATAAGTGAAGCGGTCTACACGTTCGACCACTTCACTCCCTATCACTAGTTCAGGTGATAGGGACAGACAGACTATGAATAATGATATGGTGGCGCACAAGTGGAACCATTCTTTGTCTTTCGCCTGAATTTCTAAGCTTTAAAATTTCACATAAAATTTGGCTTCTTTGTTTCTGAGAAATTTATTTCATTGATTTGTACTTTTGATAATTGGATCTTTGATTCACCTAACAATTTCATCTCTCTCTCTCGTGTACTATGGCACCTTGAACTGATGAATGTGTACGTACGTACCAAGTTATCGTTGTAATCGACTGACTGACTCTACTGTTTGTCTATCAGACAGACAGACAGATAAAACGCAGAACTTCGTACGTACGTACATCAAGTTCAGGTTGCCATACCACATTAGCACAGAGACGCAACTGTCAATTCAAATCCAGGAGTGATAGCAATAATAGAAGTATTAGCAGTAATGGAGAAGATTAAGGAGTGAAGATATGATTCGATAAGTATAATTCAGTGAGATAAATTTAGAAGGAGAAAGATAGAGATTATGGGGAATTCAGAAGGTTAAAGTTTGAAAGAACACAAAGAGTGGATGCAACGGCGCCAGTGCAAACGATTCTGAGCCATGTCGTTCAAGGTCTCTAACCATCGGTGACTTTCGTCTCGCGGACCCCAACCAGGTAGTCTACATCTACCAACATGACTCAGTCCACTAGTCAGTGACTTCATGGATTTGTGCCATGTTTTGGTCTGGCCGCCCCTAGATTTCTTCCAACCTACTCCTACACCACAAAACATAGATCGTCGAGGCAGTCGGTGGTTAGGCATACGCAACACATGTCCCAACCACCTCAACTGATGAAGTTTCACCACTTCATCTATTGATCTGCCATCCTTACCTAGTACTCGTTTCCTAACGACAGCATTGCTTATACGGTTGCTCCAGGATACACGAGCAATGCTTCTTAAACATCTATGACCAAATACTAGTAACCTACGAATATCTTCTACTCTTAACGGCCATGTTTGGCATCCGTATAGTAGGACGGCGTCTTTACTGTTTGTCGATTATCACAAGTTAATCTATACGGAACCAAAACATGGCATAAATCCATGAAGTCATTGAAAGTGGGTCTGAACCATGTAGGCAAGTGTACACTACCTGCGATTGGGGTCCACGAGACAATAATAACTGATGGTTAGAGACTTTGAATGACATCATGGCTCAAAATCGTTTGTGATGGCACAGGTGTATCCATTCGTTGTATTCTCTTAAATTCTAATCTTCTGAATTCTCAGTTACCTTTATCTTTCTATTTGAAAATTTTATTGGTATATACTTCTTGCATAATATTTTCAGACCATGATCTTTTCGATTACTGCTCATACTTCTACTACATCTATCTAAACTACTATGGGATTTGAATTGACAATTCTACCTCTCAGTGCTAATGTGGTATGACAACTTGAACTAATGTACGTATGTACGTATGTACGAAGTCGTACGCGTTGTAGTTGACTGACTAACAACTCCTTAATACAGGATAATTTACACAATCCCTGATATTAGACAGACAGACAGATACAACGCAGAACTTCGTACATAAGTACATCAGTTCAGGTTGCCATACCATATCAGCACACAGACGTAACTGTCAGTTCAAATCCAAGAGCCTGATATTCATTAGACAGTTAGGAAATAGATCAAATTATTATTTATTTTCACGGTAGAGAGTATCGATGAATTGTTATTGCTTTTTAATAAGTAACGCAGTGATTAAGTTACTTCAGTTTTAACCGCTAATGTATCATCAAGTCTTAGCTGGTCGTAGTAGTGAAAAAATGTAGCTAAGGGGTTACAACAGCTGAATAGATTCTACATCTGATCTTTTTCCTCAAGTTGCCATGTACACGACACATTCAGCGTAGAATTGATTTTCTCTCACTCTCTCTCTCCCACACTCGTTCCCACACGACAATCCTACATTTATTCCTCTTATGTTTAACAAAGAAGGCAACATGATGAAAGTGTACGTTTTGTGATTAAATTACGGGTCCGTGACATGAAGTCAAGAATTCGCCTACAAGTCAAGAAATTCAACTTCTTCTAATCAAAAAAGAATAATCATAAGAGGAAATAATGAATATCGATTGGGATTAAAAAAAGAACTAACCAGGTAGAAGGATACGTAGGATGTCCGCTTGATCATTATTATTAATATTATTATTGTCAAAATCACCGACGAATGGATCTGGATTATTCGGTTTGATTGATTCATCTGGCATCTGAACAATAAAAAAATATTTAAAAAAATGACAATCCATACAGAGCGGGCTGTAGGGGAGGCGAATGCAAAGAAAAAAACTAACTGAAGTAGATTTACACATTTGAAATCATCAATCAATCATTGTTAGACCACCATTAGAAACCTGAAAGCACTGCAGAAGACGGCCGTTTCATCCTGGTATGGAACTTATCAGTGGCAGTGTGCATCCACGACTCCTGCACTTCGCAGGATTCCAAACCCAAGACCTTCGGTGGAGTTCAACTCTGGCGGGTGTAGGCTAGTAACTACCAAAGACAAATAATGGGTGAGGTCTAGACTGATCGAAGTTAGCGTTCGTGTATAAGACCAAAGGTCCTGCGGTTCGAATCCTGCAAGTAGCAGGAGTTGTGGATGCACACTGCCACTGATAAGTCCCATACCAGTTTTTTTTTAATGCAAGAGAAATGCACCTGTTCTAGTTTCTCTACTTTTAGTGACATGCTAATATACACAGAAATATTTCGCATTGAAACACGATTACAATTTAAATATATGCTTTCCAGAAGAAGTGACAGTCTGTCAACCTTCTCAGTAATCAAATGACCAACTTATATCAAATGAAATGATCAGAAGGACTTTAAAGTGTATTTCTAAACAAAGAGATTACGTGTATCTGTATTTGACATATCGATGATATGTATTTAGAAGCATTCTAAACACTTTGTTATTGCACTTTTGAGAGCCTGCAATCTATCTATACTAATGATTTTACTGAGATGTGGAATAATCGTGTATCTAGACACACATGCTCTATCCATCGGTTAGGAAATGCGTGGGACAAACCAAAAATAGTATATAACACTAAAGAACGTACGTGTTGGTTTAACGAAGATTAGGATTGTGTAACCCCCTTCTAATTTAGAACAAAACATATCCTAATCTTCTAGAATCGTCAGCACCTACACCTTTGTCTTTCTAAACTTATCTCACTGAATTATACTTCTTGAATAATATCTTCGAACGCTAGTCTTCTTCATTACCATTAATACCTCTACTATCTTTATCAGTATGAGATTTTATTTGACATTTGCGTCTCTGTGCTAATATGGTATGGCAACATGAACTTATGTACATACGTACGAAGTTCTACGTTGCAACTGACTGATATCCATAAGTTCTGGCAAATCTAATATGGTGTTTCGATTATTTTTATGTATGATAAACACATTTAACGAAGGCATCATTTTTAAATATTACTGCGGTCTAGCTGTCAATCATATGTACATTTGTTCATATAGGGACTTGTTTTCGACTTACAAGCTCCCTGACATTATTAAATATCAGAGTCCAAAGGCTACCATCACACTATATCAGAATTTATCGTGTTACGTGTAAACTGTAAGTAAATTTGGAAATGCCGACCGAAGCTGCTACCTTGACGTGGTGGTCGGGCTTGACTATCTTGATCACCCAACCGAGCTATACTGGCTGGAACATATGTTCCTCAAGGTCCTACCATGTCAGGCAGGTCGATTGGAGAACGATCAGATTAAAAGCAGCTACTCAAGGTCTCACGGAGAAGTTGTACTGCTGACTTTAGAGGGGTGTGACAGCAGTAAGGTGTTTCCCTCGGACAACCAGCATCTGCAGCGATGCTGCCTTCTCACAAGGAACGAAGGAAGGGTTAGAAAAGGTAGACCCTAAAAATGTCACACCTCACCCTAACTCACGGATTTCCGTCTCTGGCGGTAAGGGCCTTTAAGAGCGGAGCTAATATAATCAAAAAACCTTTCATCAAAAGGCCGTGCGTGACCGGCTTCAAGCAGTTGTCTCGTGCGCTCTGCGGTCACTCATCCAGGTCTCTAAGACCAACATTAATCTATCTTCCTTCTCAGGTTCCTCAAGAAACAAACTTCCACGGTGTGGGCAGCCGGGAAGTGACAACCGCCCTCATACCCGTAACAGCACACGAGACCGAATCGGTCAAAATCAAATCCTTCTAAATTTGGAAATACAAAACAAATCACAACTTACTCATTGTTTTCCTTCTTGACTAACTTCATCTCACAGCTAATAATGATAATAATAATCATATAACTTACAGACGACAACATAACACTTTACACCTTCTAAAAAAGTAAACAACTTACACCAGGCATGATATCTTCTTTATAATCGTCGTGATTGATCGGGGGTCGTGTTGAAACTAAACGAAATGCTGGTACACCAGCACACCATGACATAATCAATGAATTATGAATGGTATTATAAGGATCACGATCAATAAACCACGGTTCAGTGACAGGATATCCCTCCACGGAATCTTTCAAATCATTTCCATCCTAATTGAAGCAAACAGAAGAGAGAAGAATTGTTATGCATTAATAATGATAGAATTACAAACACAGAAAAAAAGGAAGCTTATAACGGATATGTTTTTGGGATTCTTTCGTGATTGAGTAAATATTTGAATTAGTAATTGTTTGTAGCCCCCAAAACAACCTAACTCTGCTTGTAACCCTTCTAGGGTTAGTGTCGATCCCAAGCAGCGGGGGCATTGGGCATGAGGTTAGCCACCTCATCCCGTAGTAAACCAACTCGCTAAAAAAACGTTTACCAGAAAAAAGTATTAAAATTCTTTAAACTCTGTCCTGGGATTCGGAAGTTTTCTAGTTGGAAGAGTTATGACGCTTCATGACGAAAGCCGAGTTTTTTTCCGAAATCATGAGACCGATACTCCTTCTAACAAGTAGAGCAAACACTAATTAAGGTACACGGAACGTCAGTAGATAGTAGGGGGACCGGAAGAATCATTCAAGTTGTTACGGACATACTACGCTGAGAACTGGAAGCAAACATCAAAAATATCGATGGTAGTTGAGTAGGAGGCGAAAGGAAGGCTCAGGACAGAATTGGTTGGAGAAGGCTGATTGGTGACCTATGCTCTGTTAGGCGTAAAACAAGCGTAAGTAATTCAGTAAACAAAAATAACACAATAATATGTTATACTGTCTGTTAACACAGCAGTAACTTTTTCACCTTGATAAACAAATAACAGAACATAGGCTATTGGACACAACTCAATAAACATCCCAACAATCTTAATCGATAAGAATATGCAAACCTTGTCAAGTGATTTGTCATTTTTGAGTCTAACTTTGAGACTGCTTACACGGTGGAAAATTTTTATGACATTACTAAGAAAACATGGAGAATGTGAACAGACTAGAAAAACATTATTTAATGTTATCAATTCAGATGACAGTTCCGTTGGTGTCTAGGTAGAGAGCTTGTAAAAGACAGATAGACAGACAGACCGACAGATACAACGCAGAACTTCGTACGTAAGTACATCAGTCCAGGTTGCCATGCCCCAGCAACACAGAGACGCAACTGTCAGTTCAAATCCAAGAGTGATAGCAATAATAGATGTATTAGCTATTAGCAACAACAGTGGCCATAAAGTAAGATGGAGCGAACTATTGCGCAGTACACTCGTCCTTTAGTCAGCAAACGGATATCACGCCTACGCCATAAGTGACGCAGGTTGGCAAAAGCCAATCGAGCCTTCTGTATCCGTGCCGAGATTTCGTCAGTCACCAGGCCATCGGCACTGAGACTCCCCAAATAAGTGAAGCGGTCTACACGTTCGACTACTTCACTCCCTATCACTAGTTCAGATGCCGATGCAACCCAGTCTTGAAGCAACATTTTGCATTTCGAGGGTGAGAACCGCATCCCGAACATGCTTGCATTGTTGTTTAGGGTGGTCAGAAGACTCTGCATTTCGTCATCGTCTTCACCAAGTAGGACTATGTCATCGGCATATTCTAAGTCGATAAGCGAGCCTCCTGGTAGAAGGTCTACTCCTGAAAATTCAGACGAGGATAAGGTTATTTCTAAGGAGCTTGTACAAGTGTTGGAGATGTGCAATCCCCAAATAGAACGTATTAAAAAGAAAATCAACATAGAGTTCAGATTAATGTTAAGTCAACTTTCAATGCAATTTTTTAACTATGGTCTGTGTTTAGTGATATTTACTCAGTTCATAAATCCTAATTGCTATAGAGAATTAATGCAAGTTCTTTACAGTTAAAAGATGAAAAGCATACGCAATACCTATGCACAGTGATTGTCAAGCAATGGCATGGCTTGAGAATCATCACACAGAAAGACAATATCATCCGCATACTCAGTATTGAAAATCCATTCTCCAGATAACAGATCCACACTACCACTACCTTCATCTATCAGATCTGTTCCTAGAATGCCATGGATGACAAAGTTGAAGAAAACCCTACTTAACCCCACTACCTAAGTGAAACATTAGGGAAAGGAGGCTGTATGCCTTTAATCTCCCTGAGGTGTTTGTATTTAGTGCCTTCAAAATGTTAAAAAAAACTTCCCAGGCACAACTAACTTTGATAGGCAATTCACAGAACAGTCTTGTTCAGTGAATTGAAGGCCAACCTGGTGTCAAGAAACATGACGATTGCTGACCTGTTGATAAGTATGGCGATGTCTTAACATTTGGTAAAGGGTGAACATATGATCAATAGATACTCGATCAGAACAAAAACCAAACCGCTCATCGTGAATCAATCCTTCACAGCTCAATAACAAATAACTCATTTTATTGGTAGATGACAGCTGATAAGCGTCACGCTTTTTGGGTTGATCATACAAGGGGGAAATTTTTATGCTAGTTGTTTAACAGCAGTGAAGTCGAGATAGAAACTCATCAACACAGCGAATGAATAGATCAAGGGAATTGAAATTCACAAAAATTTAATGGTGTAAAACAAAGCATTAATTAACAGCTACTGTAGTGAACGAGAACACAGGTGGGGCAACCGAATTGTATTTATCGAAAATTACAGAGTTACTCAGTAAAATCGGAAAACCATATCGTAAATCGTTCATTTGCAAAATATCAGCGCATCATACCGAATTGGACTGTTCCTGTTGCAAAACATCAATCCATTGTCACTACTCACGCGTTTCATACAAATTCCATTGTTTTCTAACTCTTCCTTTCTTGATCTTCCCCCATATTCTGCTGCCAGACATTACGTTTACACTCACGTCATATACTACTTATAAGTAGCTCACACCACACTACCAATCATAATATTCTATTGCAACCTGTGATATATTTTAAGCTATTCTTATATTTTATTTAAATCTTAGGAAAATATATAAACTGCAGTAGATTATGATTGCTTCACAATCTTGTAGGTGCATTTTAGAGAAAATCTTAGATTTCTACTCTTACAGTAAGTAACAGATATGAGGCTGAATAGGCAAGTAGGAATAGGTTGGAAGAAAGCTAGGGGTGGCCAAACCAAAACATGGCACAAATCCATGAAGTCACTGACAAGTGGACTGAGTCATGTCGGTAAATGTCGACTACCTGGTTGGAGTCCGCGAGATGATAATAATCGATGGTTAGAGACCTTGAATGACATGGCTCAAAACCGTTCGCAATGGCGCCGGTGCATTTTTTTCTTTATGTTCTCTCAAATCCTAATCTTCTAGATTCTTCAACCCCCTACCTTTGTCTTTCTAACCTTATTTCACTGAATCATACTACTTAAATAATATCTTCTAATCCTAACCTCTCCGATTACTTCTAATACCCTTACTACCTCTTCTACTATTGGATTTGAATTGACAATTACATCTCTGTGCTGATATGGTATGGCGACATGAACTGATGTACTTACGTACGAAGTTCTCAGTCAGTCAGTCAGATGCAACGTAGAACTTTGTACATAAGTACATCAGTTCATGTTGCCATACCACATCAGCACAGAGAAGTAATCGTCAATTCAAATCCAATAGTAGAAGAGTTAGTAAAGGTATTAGGAGTAATCGCACAGGTTAGAATTAGAAGATATTATTCAAGAAGTATGATTTAATGAGAAAATTTTGGTAAGACAAAACTAGATGTGTTGAAGAATCCAGAAGATTAGGATTTGAGAGAACGCAGAGAATAAATGCACCGGCGCCATTGCGAACGATTTTGAGCCATGTCATTCAAGGTCTCTAACCATCGGTAAGTATCATCTCGCGGACCCCAACCAGGTAGTCTACATCTACCAACATGGCTCAGTCCACTAGTCAATGACTTCATGGATTTGTGCCATGTTTTGGTCTGGCCGCCCCTAGCTTTCTTCCAACCTATTCCTACACTACAAAACAAGGCTCGACGAGGCAGTCGGTGGTTAGGCATACGCAACACATGTCCCAACCACCTCAACTGATGAAGTTTCGCCACTTCATCGATTGATCTGCCATTCTTACCTAGCACCCGTTTCCTAATAACAGCGTTGCTCACTCGGGTGTCCCACGATATACGAGCAATGCTTCGAAGACACCTATGATCGAAAACCAATAACCGACGAGTATCTTCTACTCTCATTGGCCATGTTTCACAGCCATAAAGTAAGACGGAGCGAACTACTGCCAGTACACTCGTCCTTTAGTCAGCAAACGGATATCTCGCCTACGCCATAAGTGACGCAGGTTGGCAAAAGCCAATCGAGCCTTCTGTATCCGTGCTGAGATTTCGTCAGTCATCAGGCCATCGGCACTGATGAGACTCCCAAGATAAGTGAAGCGGTCTACACGTTCGACTACTTCACTCCCTATCACTAGTTCAGGTGCCGATGCAACCCAGTCTTGAAGCAACATTTTGCATTTCGAGGGGGAAAACCGCATCCCGAACATGCTTGCATTGTTGCTTAGGGTAGTCAGAAGACTCTGCATTTCGTCAGCGTCTTCACCAAGTAGGACAATGTCATCGGCATATTCTAAGTCAATAAGCGAGCCACCTGGTAGAAGGTCTACTCCTGAAAATTCAGACGAGGATAATGTTATGTCTAGGAGCATGTCTATGATAAAATTAAACAAGAATGGAGAAAGTGGACAACCCTGACGGACACCACTTGAAGTAGAGAATTCCGGTGACAGTTCGCCATAAGCTCTCACTCGATCAGTGGTGTTCGAGTAAAGAGCTTGTATAAGGTTAATGTACTTCTTTGGTACACCTTTCAATGACAGACACTGCCACAGAACCTCACGATCCACTGAGTCGAATGCCGCCTTAAGATCCAGGAAAACAACTATTGTAGGACGCCTAAATGTGTGTCTATGTTCCAGGACCTGTCTGAGTGTGAAAACGTGGTCTATACAGCCACGTCCAGCTCGAAAACCAGCCTGGTTTTCTCGAGTCTGCTCTTCACGAGCTTTCGTTAAGCGTCGAAGTATTATTGAGGCCAGTATTTTAGATACTATATTAGTTAGACTTATTCCCCTGTGATTGTCACAAGAAGACTTTTGTCCTTTCTTATAGATTGGGACAATCAAGGATTGAGACCAGTCGGATGGGATTGTGTCCAGTTCCCAGATTCTACCTAAGATCTCAGTCAACCTAGCTGTTAAAACTGGACCACCATCCTTAAATATCTCAGGGGTCAGTCTATCAGGACCTGCAGCTCGTCCTCGTTTCAGATTTCCTAACGCTTTCTCAACTTCATTAAGACTGGGGGGACTTACGTCGATTTGCCATTCAGGATGACTGGAGATCGTGGGTAACCGAAGAGTGGCTCGTGGCCAGTTGAACTGATCCCTAAAGTGTTCTGCCCATCGACCCAGTCTCCTGCATTGAGAATGGATAATAAGACCATCCTTTTCTGAAATAGTTTCACTCACAGTTGGGTTCCTAATACCAGTTTCCTTGATGAGTCTAAATAGTTGCCTACTGTTGCCTATCGCCGCTGCCTTTTCCATCTCTCTCGCTTTCGCCACCCACCACTGTTCACGGTCGTTACGTAGGCTTTTTATAAGTCTGCGCCTAAGTTGACTACGCTCTTCATCATGTTCAGAGTCAGGTGGGATGAGTTTTCGGGTATCCATCAGATCGGTGGATGCTACTGAGATCCACGGCTTCATTCTAGCCTTATGGTCAACCTTGCTAGCAGATATCACTGCTGTTTCCACAGCCTTTTTGATATCATACCAACCTGCTTCTGGATGGGAATCGCTTGCATGGTTGCTTAACTCTATTTCTAGTTGCTCCTGAAATATTTTCTTGGTTAGATTATCATTAAGTAAAACCCTAAGAGGCTTTCTTACGGTGTCTTTCCTACGCCCAGTAAGCCTTAAGCAGATACGAGCTCGTACTAGAGCATGATCTGAATCCAAACATGTGCCCCACAACGAGCGACAGTCTTGTACGAAGTTCTACGTTGCATCTGACTGACTGAGGCAAGTAGCTCCGGTATTGACTCATATCACAGTCTGAAATTCACTTAGCCCACTTTAGTCTAAGCATATGAGTAGCAGCAATGTTGTTAAACGGTAACTAAATTGGTAGCAAAAATAACAAACAAAAAAATCGATTTCTCAAGATTAAAAATAACTCACATTTAATCGACGCAAATAATCTTCAATTCCAGATCCTCTTAATTCAGCTCTCAATGGTCTAATATAACAATGCTTATTTGTTCTAATTACTGTTAAACCCTCAGAGAATAGATGTAAAATACGTATCACATTGTAGTATGGTACTTCAGATAATGTAACATTAAGAAAATTCTCATCTGTTGTAATCGATTCAACAGGATCTATTTTTAAAAATGGAATACGAATACGACAAATGGATTTATGTGCATTTGCTTTATGATTCAATGAAGTTAATGGTCTATAACCAAGAATGTATAACAGTAGAAATACACTGGCAATCATTAACAATGTGAATAAGAGAAATAATGAACCCAATATGAAAGGACGGCTACGATTTGTAGTACGTCTTGTCGGAGGTGATCCATACACCTCAGATCCAACAGGTGGACGAAGAACCAATGGTTCCAGCTAAATCCAAGTAAAAAAGAAAGATAAGAATGTTATAACTAAACAATCAGAAACATATCAAAGAACCAGTTGAAGAGAGTCAGTCAGTCAGTCAGCAACCAGGTAGAACTTTGTACGTACGTACATCAGTAAGTTGCCATACTACATTAGCACACAAAGACGCAATTTTCAATTTAAATCCCAAAGTAGTAAAGGTAGTAGGAGTATTAGCAGTAATCAAAGAGATTAATGATCGAATATATCATTCGAGATTTATAGCCCAGATGAATCAGTTAAAAAAGATAAAAAACAGTCATGAGGAATTCAGAAGATCATGATTTGAGAGAACACAAAGAATGGATGCACCTACGTCAGTGCAAACGACTTTGAGCCAGCAGACAGGTAGTTACAACATAGAACTTCGTACGTACGTACATCAGTTCAGACTACTATACCACATTAGCACAGTGACGCAGTTTGGATGAACTTGCTACTCTTAAGTGTAAAATCGCTTCTTAAAAGCTAAAGCTGGACCTTTACAAATCGTGCCTTACTACGCACATATTTTACAGACAATTTTATAAATTCTTACGATCTAATAAACTGATTCAAAATATTTCTAATCTCTTTAGAAATTTAAAACAATTAGTCCCTTTTATAAATTTTGATAGAACAATCTAATCTAATGAAGCTACTCAAAATAAATGTTATCAACAAGGATGAATTCAACATGTTAAAACCCACTGGTTCTGAACTCCAGAATTTATTTAGATTACCCAAAATTCATAAACCTAATAATCCACTAAGACCAATATTATCTATGTGCGGATCACCTACACATAAGCTAGCCAAACGGTTAGCTAAATTACTCAGCCTAAACCGTAATAAATTGTGTAAGTTTTCCTTGAAAGATACATTTGAACTAATTGTTCTTGATGACATTAATATTAAAGGAAAGACTGTGCATTCTTTTGATGTAAACTCCCTTTTTACCGATATACTTACTTAGTTACTTATGCCTGTTACCCCCGATGGAGCACAGACCGCCGATCAGTGTTCTCCAACGTACTCTGTCATGGGCTTTCCTTCCCAGTTCTGTCCAATTTTTGTGGATTCTTTTTGTTCATTCTTTTACCAATGTACCTCCAATTAAAACTGTTAAATTTCTTTGAGACTATATATGGAGTAGTTTCCCCTTTTTTTCTATTGGGTCAACACTACTAAGAGAACTACTTTTATCATGTACTGAAAAAGTTCCTTTCACATTTGATGGCGAACATTTCCAATAAGTTAATGGGGTTGCTATGGATAGTCCTTTGGGACCTCTCTTAGCTGATGTTTATATGGCATATGTTGAGAATTTGTGGAATGAGCACACCAATAAGCTTACTCTGTACAGGATACATGGATGATATTTTGGTTTTATGCGATAAAGAATTCAATGTCTCTCAGCTACTGAATAACTTCAATAGCCTTCAGAACGACATTGTCCTAACCCACGAAGCAGAAAGTAATAACCAACTGCCCTTTTTAGACATACTGTTGAGTCGAAGGGAAAATAGAACAACTATAAATTGTGTTCAATTTATAGAAAGCCAACTTGGACTGGACAGTATTTACATTTCAGAAGTCTGTATTCATTGCAACAAAAGCGAGGCTTGGTAAAATGCCTCTTCAACAGGGCAAAAAGAATTTGCACCACGGACACATTTAAAGACAATGCGAATTTCTTGGCTGAAACATTGATTTCAAACGGTTATCCGCTAAAGTCCATCAATAGGTGTAGAAACCAGTTAAGACAAAAGCCTGTTTTACATTCTGATGAAAAGAAAAATATTTTCATTACTTTACCATTTAGAGGCGAATCAACTGGTTCAATCTTAAAACAGCAACTAAAAGCAGCCATAGAGGAAGTATACTACGCTGCCAAGCTGATTATAATTGAAAAGACTTGGCCGATGATTCCGCATAGTCCTGGAAATCGCTCGAATGATTGCATCACATCCCATTGCATTTATCAATTAAAATGTGTGTCAGCACATACATAGGGAAGAGTGATCGCACTCTGGCCTAGAGTATTGTGACAATTTCTTAACCTTTTCTTATTCTTTGAGTATTATGATAATTTTTCCTCCATTTGCAATTATCACCTTATGTCTATTTAAACTTTTATTTAATCGACCTTTCATAAATTTTCATATAGAATGTTTCGACAAGTATATGTGTGACCGGACTGTTCGAAATGTCTGGAGCAAATACATCACATTTTCAAAATCTTTTACGTCATTTCATCCACTTCGTATTCGCTCGCTATGTCTCCTAATTAAGCCTCGATATAATAAGCATATACCAAGTCTGATTTCATTGTTTAGTATTTCATACTGAAAAGTCATATGTCTTGCCCAAAATACTGTAGGACGCTTAGCAGGTTTAACTTTTTGGACCCGTCCTATGTATGAAAAAGAAGTCTACAGAGCGTTTTAAAGATAGTATATGGAATACTTTGAAAAAATCATCTAACGAATATAAGAATAACATACCGGATCTACCGCGACCTTTTCGAAACTCTTAGCATATTCATCAGAACCCATCTTGAGCGTTTTGAAACTCTCACCACATATCCAACCAACTTAAACAAACCTATTTAATTCAGTTTTGAGGATTACTTAACCTGTGCCTACTTTCGGAGTTGTTTATTTTGAAGACAGCTTTTAATCAAGATGTACACGGATGAGGTTAATACAACTTGTTCAATCATTGATTGTTCTATGTGTAAACAAAGCCCCATTCTGAGCATTTTCGATTGTGGTTGCAGAACATACTTGCAGCAGTCCTGCTAAATGATAAGTTCCGAAAGAAGAAAAGAGATATAACATGTTCACACCCATATTGTTATTCAAGATAAGGAATTCTAAAATAAGATCACCTCTTTTTGTACCGTTATGTAAGGACAAAAGTTTAGGGCGCTTAATGCATTCATTAAAAGAAAGTTTGAAAGATCAGTCACTAGCTTGGTTTCCTCACTTTTGATATGCTCAAGTTATATGACATCCTTATTCAGACATGTCTAACTGCTTAGATGCATCCTCGAAGTGAGGTCTCATGTAGATGATGTATAAAATCCAAAAGATGTAATTGTCCAAGCATTTGGATGGTCCATGAAGCAACCGTAACAACCGGAAACCTTTGGTGGCCGCTCTGTTGAAATGTAAAAAATATTTGGAGCAATTAGTTAGTAATCACTTTAGAATCTTTTTTGAATGTTTTGTTTTTTGGAAAATCCCTCCATGTTTATATATTTTTGTTATGAAATGACGGACTCTTTCTGTTGACATTTTGGTATTTTATTTGATTCCAATTTGAGATTTTATCATTGTATATTGTTATTCTTTCTATATTTTGTACTTATATTGAAGTTTCTATGTTTGCTTCTGAACTGTACATATGTTGTTTAAATTTGATATAATATGGCTACCGCCACATTTTTGGATTCGACATCGTGCAGTATAGGAGTTCACCTAGACCTCGGAACATTGATACTCGTTCAGAGTAATTTTGAATTGGAAGGCGTAAATTTCGTTAGGTATTATTTGTATTTCCATTTATCATTTATTAATAGACCACTTTCTCCTAGAATTATTGTGTTTTGATATTCGAATAACGGAGGGTGCGTATAACATACGTCTATTGGAATCGAATTGAACTGCTACGGTAGAAAATCCAACTACAATCACAATCATAGTGTTTTTTGATGGCATTCGACGCTTTTGATCATGAGGATCTGTGGCAATCTGTCATTCAAAAAGGATGGCAGAACGTTTCGACAGACAGTTAAAACTTGTACTAATATTACACTCGAACCCCAGTCAATAAGCGAAATTCCTTCCATTACTTATTTCAGGAATAAGAACGGTTATCATAACTGATTCACTATGTTCTTCCACTTAACTAGCAACTGGGACAACTTTAAGACTACAAGTTGAGTTTATCTATCCTTGTGTTGAAAGTGAGATAATGAACTTCCATATGTGTTATTGGACTGTTTACCTGACATAATCAGTAAGTCGCAACTAGGTTCCTCCACGTGTGACCGAAAAGGTTGTAAGTGTACAAACGACTATCCAGCCTGGTATACCGAGCGGGTTAACTTAATCCCAGAAATCTAATCTATTCATACTTAAGTTTTGTTTAAAAAATCGCTTTTTGGTGCATATATAAAACGATTTTTTTCTTCAAGTATTTTTTCAGTGCTTCTTTGAATTTCAAAGGAGTAGACGTAAGCTGTATCCTACACACCGCTATTCAAGGACATAGATTTGTGCATATGAGTGTCAGATTAGCTTTTCATGCTGCGAATAAGTAACGTATCCCTAAACAGATCATTGAAACCATGGATTTAATGCAGCAAAACGTAATTAGACAATAAGACATTGAGAAGCTTGTTAATTATTTTCATAACTAATTGTGGTTATGTCATAACTCACCAGTCAATTTGTGGTTTAAGCGCCCACCACGTGATCTGATCTGACATGTCTGTAAACTTTCTTTGTTGTAAATGACCTAATAATTGAAAGACATTATTACCTTATTATATTGATGTGACTCGTAGTTTTGTTCATTTCTAAAGACACGCTATACTGGTCGGTCTGTTTGCTCGTCTTACTTGATGATAATTGTAATTTCCTTATTTTTGTACTAATTTAATTGTTTTTATGTTTAGAAACAGATAAAGTTTAAAACCAAGTTGATCTTATTCTTACTATAGCTTTCCTATAGACTCTATGCTCACCAGTATTGTGTTTACTGTTCTAGAATTACATCTGTAGGACAAATTAAATCCTACAAAGCTCTCACTGAGTTGAGTAATGTACGTAGGCTACGCATATGGGATTGATGACTTTTACCCAGAATTCTCCGTCGACAAAATAAAGTAGTGATAAAATTTTATGCAAGCATTTGATAAAATCCCATACGACACCCGAAAAGATGGACTACAGAAGTGGTGACTGTAGT